AGTGCCCGACTAATTGAAAATAGGAATGATGGTCTTAATTAATTATTAGGAGATGACTTTCTAATTGACTTAATTAGTAGCGTATCAGGTGAAAGTTAATTTTGTGCTGACGTCTCAAACCTCTTGATAGTCAGGGTGAGAATTATTCGAATTTCAAAGTGACTTCCAAGTTATTTTAAACAGAAATTTGGGTGTCTATGTGTAATTAGAATATTCTGTTTTAAATTTCTTCATAACTTTGACAGCTCCTAGGATTTCCAAGTGTCACTGTTTCTCAGCAGGTTGTACAATTTTGGTGGATATTTGTTTTTATTTTTTTTTTTTTATGAGGTGGTAACAAAAGAGGTGTGCAACAAGTTCTACTCTCTGAACAGAGGTGCTGAAAGTGTTGAGCCTTTTTTTCTGAAAGCTGACTGATATTAGCTTTGTAATGGATTCTTTAGATAGAAAAAAAAATCCACTAGATTTTAACTAAGCATTGCTTTTAAGTTTAAAGTAATTTGTCCTCATGTCTCGTAGAAGTATGGCTCAATCCAGCTGTGGTTATTAAAGAAATAAAGTTCAGACATTCACTACTAAATATTTAAAATTCACTTCTTTGGATCAAGAGTGTCTAGCATTTTTTAGTAAGAACAGTGCTATTAACCAAGTCAGGCAGCTACCAGTTTTCATACAAATCATTTGTATTCAAGTAATATTTATCATGTGCTGAATGCTGTCCACACACAAGAGGACACTTATCCTTTCCTGAAAACCTTGCAGTCACCAGAGAAAAAAATACATTTTCTTTCCTGAAGGCTGAATAGTCCCTTCAAACATCTGCACATTGTTAAACAACCCAGAAAATAATAATGGCTATATAAAATAAAGTAATGAGCTGTAGCTTCCTCCATACCTGGCCTTAAAGATGCAGGCCTCGTTCCCCACAGTCACTGAGCTTTTTGTTTTTAAGGATCAATTCTTTCTCTCTGCTGCTAGCAACAGACTTGTTTTTGTGCTTGTATCACAGCAGAGAGAAGAGGAGCTTGCTAATAGCTCTTATCTGGGCTGCAGTCACTGCAGCCTGACTAAGATATCCTATTGCCTTTCTTCATCTCGGGAGGAGGAGGGACACCTGGCTCCTTGCATCCAAGCACAGTCCCAGCTGCTGCTTTCCTGCTCCATCAATAGACTTTTCTGTGCCAGTAGGACTAATAGCAATGGTTTTCTAATGACAGCATTTCCCCTAGTGCCTTGTATGTTCTGCCTAGTAAACCTTTTGGAATAATAAGATGGATTCAGCCCATTTGTGACAGGAGGGAGGATCATGTGGGGGACCCGTGGGGGAAGAAAGGAAAGAAGGAAGCAAGAATGAAAATTTCTGTCTGCCTAATAGGTGGTCAAAAGGCATGCACCATACAGCATTTTTTTATTTGGGTCCATCACAGTGATTTCACTCGTGAAACGATTTTGCCCCTGCTGTAACAATGTGGTATTAATGACCACTTACCTGACATCAAAGACCAACTGTACTACTTTCTGTAGCAACCAGCAATCCTTGACCTAAACCTTAGCAGTCGAGACAAAAAGGAAGATTAGGATACATTCACATAGCACATCAGATTCACAAAAAGTACAGTCACCCCAGGTCCAGACTATTTTCTGGTACCTCTGTCCTACCTACAGCAGAGCAGGTTTGATTACCATGTGAATGAGGAAAGCTGCTGGAAGCTGCTGGACTGCTATCTCTAAGTGCAGCCCCATGGCTACATGAAAAATAGCACCGTTTACCACTATACTCAGATATAGTGGACAATAATTTGACAATTAAAAGTGGCCTTTCCCCTTACAAACTCCATATGGGCACTCTGAGCATTAATGAGCCATTACATTTATCATTCCTTTCTCTTCAGAGAAGAAACCAGTGGGGTTTTCCCCTTCTTCCCCACTGACAAACCAGTTCTAGCACTGCCCATCTGCAGCTTTAAGGATCTCTATACTACCTTTAATGGGAACGAGGCTGTCAAATTCCAAACTGGGTAATTAACTAAATTTTTATTTTATTTTATTTTATTTTATTTTATTTTATTTTATTTTATTTTATTTTATTTTATTTTATTTTATTTTATCCATTTATATTCATATATTCATATATATATTTTGGTTCTAAAGTCAGTGCTGTTATCTGCTAAGGACTTTAATTAAATACGGTGTGATGATTCAAGGCAGGACTGTTATCAGCTGCCCTTTGTTCCCTCTGGTGGAAGGAACTAGAAAAAGGCTGGGAAGATGAGTGGCAGTTTGGATGCTCCACTTCAGGAAAGTGGGTTTGGGCTTATTCAGGGAATTTCACAGTAGAGTCCTTGGGAATCAGCCAAGAAGCAGAAAGAGGCTCAGGAGATCTAGCTGATTTATAAAAATAAGTTATGAGAACTCAGGAGCACACCATCCCATTGTGGAGGAAGACAGAATTTTGCAACAATCCCTTTATGCTCCAAAAAAAGACAACTTATAAAAGCATTACTTAGGTACTTACAGACTCAGAAAGCTACAACCCAGCTTGAGCTAAAGCTAGAAGTGAGCATTAAAGGTAACACGAACATTTGCTGCTTGCAAAAGGAAATTCAAAGAACATGGTTCCACTGATGGCTGCAGTAGACAACCTAGAAACAGATAATACAGAAAAGGCAGAAGCACTCAAAACCATTTTTGCATCATTTTTTCACAGTCAAAGCCTGTTCCCAGACTTCTGTGTGTATCAGTACAGTTAGGGAAGGAGAGGAAAAAAGCTTATATATATGATAAACCCATCATCTGTGGCGTAATGAACACACAGATACCAGGGTTCTTTAAGGATCAATAATTTCTAATAATTTCTAAAGGCAATAACTTCAACATCACAGAATCACAGAATTTCTAGGTTGGAAGAGACCTCAAGATCATCGAGTCCAACCTCTGACCTAACACTAACAGTCCCCACTAAACCATATCCCTAAGCTCTACATCTAAACGTCTTTTAAAGACTTCCAGGGATTGTGACTCCACCACTTCCCTGGGCAGCCCGTTCCAATGTCTAACAACCCTTTCGGTAAAGAAGTTCTTCCTAAGATCCAACCTAAACCTCCCCTGGCGCAACTTAAGCCCATTCCCCCTTGTCCTGTCACCAGGCACGTGGGAGAACAGACCAACCCCCACCTCGCTACAGCCTCCTTTAAGGTATCTGTAAAGAGCAGTAAGGTCGCCCCTGAGCCTCCTTTTCTCCAGGCTGAACAAGCCCAGCTCCCTCAGCCGCTCCTTGTAGCAGCTCTCCTCCTGATCACTCCCCTTTCTTCCCCTGTAAACAACAGACTTAGTACAGACATCATTTCCTCCCCAAGTGTATAAGTTAGGCCCTAGGAACTGGTCTAATAATTCAGCTAGCCTGATGGGGTCCTCAATTAAAGCCTTCAACTCCTTCTTAAAACTTCTAACCTCTCTGCTGGTAAGGAGGGGGAAGAGTTCACCTAAGAGGATACACAGTTAGTGTTCGTACTGTTTGTATCAGGGAAGGCAAAATTCTAAATATCTCTTCTACCTTGTTCTAATTCTTGCCAGAGCCTAGAGTATGATCCTTCTCTAGGGACAGCGTTAATTGCAGTCCCTGTCGCCCTTCCTGGAGTGGCTGCTGCTGCCACCGATGCAATATTAGGATCATAGGGAGCATAACTCGGCTCCTTCTCTGAAAAAGGAATCTTATTATTTAGATATAAATTTAAAGCCTGAATTTTCGTCAGACCTATATTTTGGCCAAAATAATGCTGTTTCCTTAATTGGTTCTTTTGTCCACAGTGATACACAACATTTAACCATTTTCTTCTTTTATCACCTCCTCTAATTTTGGTATTATTTTTCCAATTTTTTATCATTCCTCCGGAAGGGCTGTTGGTAGGCACTCCCCCAGGGACATCTCCCTATCCCCTGGAACCCATATTTTCCCATTTTTCCCAGCCCTTGTCAGGGTGTTGCTACAGAAACTTAGCTCCTGCAGGGTACTGACTTGTGGAATTCAGACTCTATAACCCTGGAATGGTTATAAAGCAGGTATGTTTTTTCACACACACGCCGGACGCAAGGGGGATAGCTCCACCTAACTCGCGCACCAGCGGTTACTGGCAATGTGCTTATATTAGTGGGACAAATACATATTTATTGCATTTCCCGTAAGTCTTCTGTATATTCATCAGGTCTCCAAAGAATCATTAACGTAGGTTATGCGTACTGGAGTCCTCAGGTGGTCAGTTGTCTGTCATACTCTGGTGGTCTTTCACTGAAGGTCAGAAGTCTTCCTCACTGCTTATCTTCTGGGCTTTCCTGTCTCTGACAGACTTCAGTTGTCAAGCCAGTTCTTGCTATTCCCATTATCTATGCATACAGTATTTTATTCCCTTATCTTTCGGTCGTTAACATACAGTTGTGCTAGCTAAGACCTAGAAATCACCATCCTTTATCTTATTCCCTGTCTCAGTACCACACACAAACATTCTGATTCTGGAAAATGGGGATGTACTGCCAAGCACTTTCCCGTACAAGGGGTACCACACACCTATGGGTTTACCAGATTGCCTGGTGTACTGCCAAGCACTTCACCATGCAAGAGGTACTGTACCGTACACCAAATTTCCCGAGACTCTTCCTTCCTCTTTCTTATCTCACACTTCGTCTGTCTCCAGCCGTGCCCCTCGCGGAGCTACAGAACCACGGATCAGGACTCCACACTAGCTTCGTACAAAAGTACGTCTCAATCACATGTCACACAGAGTCTCACCTGACCCCCAAGGCAATACTTAATATTTCTTACCTTGGTCTGCGCACAGAGTTACCGGATCAGTTCTCAAACCCAGAGTGCCTACCTTCTTCCCTTCCCCAGTACTTCATGGATCCTGCCTTTTTAATCAGTCTCAGGCCTTCAGTTCTAGGCTCTCTTATTTGTGATTGCAACGGCGGGCATCCCACAAGCAGGAGCACACCTACTAGTCACACAGTAAAGTTTATATACTTTATTTCTTGGCGACCGGGACCCTCCCCTGCTTCCCCATTGACTTGGTAGTCCAGGTTCACAACCTATCCAATGCTTCACAGATAATACATGGCTTTCAGTTGCCAGCCTGTTATTTTTCAAATTTCTTTTGACTTTTTTTTGACTGTTTGGGGTGGTAATGTTTCTTCCCTTATCTGGCTTGACTTGATACCATGAATTTCACCTAATTTGCACTAAGGTGTCTGGTTGTCTGCATTTTACAAGTTTGTCTGGTAAGCTTTCTTATCACTGCAAGTATATCTCAATACCACATTCATTTCCCCTATACAATGTAACTCTAAATAATGTAACATCTCTAGAAAAAAAATCCTTCTTACACGGTCACATATACCCAGTATTGCTTTTCTGTTGAATATCAATTTAGTAGTTGTCTTTCTTACCCCTCCTGCCCCCCATACATTGGGTATTCCCAAGAAGCAGTATGTCTGGTACTTCCTGTGCTTATGTTACCAACTCAGGTGAGAAAACAACATTTTTGTTCCCATTCAATAATTGCTTGACCTGTGGGAGAATGGGGTATACCAGTCAGATGTTGGATGCCCCACTGTAGAAAAAAAGTGGGTTGCATGGGCCACATATCCTGGCCCATTATCTGAATCATTTTTGGCACTCCCATTGTTGCAAAAACTGACAGAAAATGTTTACACACATCTTTTGCTTTTTCTCCTGCATGGACAGATGCAAAAATACAGGCAGAAAGGGTATCAATTGAAACATAAACATAGCGAAGTTTTCCGAATTCTGGCTAATTGGTAACATAAAAAAGCAGTCCTTTAACTCTACTACTATTAATATCCATGGCTGGATAGTTGGAGATGGTAATCCCAGTTGAAGTGCTCCAGTATTTTCCATGACTTTATTAATTTTTCTCAGATCATGTCACAGTCTCCACTTTCCATTCCTTTTCTTGATTACAAACACCGGAGAGTTCCAGGGCTAGTTGTGGGAACAATATGTCTCACTTTAAGTTGTTAAGCAATTCAGCCTTCGGGCCTTATGTATCCTATTCCTCCTGGATCGAAGGGAAACAGAGCCAGCTTCTTTTCAGGACCTTTAGAGCCTGGATCAAAAGGAACATCCAGGTCATCAGGGGGCGTAACAGCAAAGACCTGTGATGCCAGTACTGTCAGATAGGTGGATGAGCCCACAGCTCCCTCACTATCTGGTAAACCAGATGTTTCTGACTGTGGTCCCACATGGCTTGTTAAGACCTCAGAGATTGCTCACCAGGCACCAAGCAATCCAGGCACGACCTTGTCATTTTTAGTAGTAGAGTCCCAAAGCTTGACCTCAATTTGGTCCCATGTTTCAGGCTCATAAACCATCTGATTAGTAATAAAGGGAATAAGCTGGAAGGTTACCAGGACATTCTTTGGTTTTAAGGCCATATGATTCCCCATGATGCGCACCTGCATCCTTACCTTCAGCCAGTAAGGGGCAGTTGTGTGTGCAGGTCTGCTTCTCTCGTCTTGAGCTTCCTTCCAGCTTGGGTGCGCCTCCTTCCAGCGACTTTCAGTTTGAGCTTCCTTTCAGCTCTGATGCATTTCCTTTCAGCGCGTGGTCCTCTTCTCTGAGCAGTTTGAGCTTCCTTTCAGCTTTTCCTTTCAGTGACTTTCAATATGAACTTCCTTTCAGTATGGGTGTGCTTCCTTTCAGCACGGGGTCCACTTCTGTGAGTGGTTTGCTGAGTTCGGCTGAACCTATCTTCATGAGGTGATCAGTGTCCCTATTCCTGTCCTGGTCCCTGTTCTGTTAGCCTGCCCTGTGAGTGCCTGCCTGAATTGTGCTCTGTCTGCAGCTATCTTCTGTCCTGTCTCCTGTATAGACCTTGGACCTATGTTACAGCCTTGTCTTTGGCACCATCTCCTCACTAGGCTTCCTGGATGGACCCTGGAGCTAGTTCATCATGTCACCTGGCTGGGGGCTACTAATGGACACTGTTCAGATCCTGTGCTTGGGGTAGGAGTGCAGGGGTGAGGTCAATGCCTATGCTGTGGTCACCCATAGCTCCTAATTTGTCCTTTCTTGAGGAGCAGTTTGCTTCCCTGACCCTTCTGACTCCTTGATGTCTTGTGGACCTTCAATATTAAGCTGGAGGCGCCAACATAAGATGGAAAGATGTGGACCTGTTCGAGCAGGTCCAGAGGAGGGCTATGAGGATGATCAGAAGGCTGGAGCACCTCTCCTACAAAAACAGGCTGAGGGAATTAGGGTTATTTAGACTAGAGAAGAGAAGGCCCTGAGGAGATCTTATAGTTGTCTTCCAGTGCAGGGGGGATGGAACTAGGTGTCCTTTAGGGTTCCTTCCAACTCAAACCATTCTGTGATTCTCTGAACTCTGTTTTCAAGGTTAGAAGTGAGCAATTATAATATATACTCAGATCTTTAGCACAAGGAATAAACCTGTACCTGATGGAACATCTGACACTAATAGCCTTTGACTGACCAAATGTATCCACCAGAAAAACAACATGTTTCTGGAGTTTCTTTGCTTCAGCTATTTCCCTTGTTTAAATCTAAGGTAACGCTCAAATCATGTTGGATTCCTATCTGCAACTTTTAAGGCTTACTTAATGAATGACTATATTACAGATTTCAAATTATATTTATTACAGGAATATTTTTGTTTGTTTAAATCTTGTAGTCTTGTTGTAGCTTATCTTATGGTTAAACATACACACACACTCAGTAGCTATTGCAGCAATTGAGCACTGGAGCACTTCTCTTTTCTTTAATATGTCTTAGAAAGCCAAAAGGGAGAGTCACAGAGACAAATGAAGAAACAATCACTCCTCCAGAAGACAGTAAGATACCCATACCCTGATATCTCCTTATCTTTTCTCTGGTATGAATATCTTCAAAAGTGATTTTATTCATGGAGAGAGCCCAGGACAGCAACCCATGTTTTTCTCTTCTTCATATGAAGTTTTGCTTTGTAAATGCTCATTTTTCATAACGACTTGCAGTGTGATGGGCTAGACACTGGTCTTGTGAGGACTGTGGAGAAATGGGACAATGTGTTCTGCAGAGACACAACCTTTAGAAGCTGAATTGCCTCCCAGGCCATTGCAGCTTGCTATCCCAGACCTGCAGCAACTGCCTGTCTTATTTACATAGGAGTTGCAAGTGTCCTAATCATCCTCAAGCCTGAAGTGTTTATTTAGGTGCCACATCAGAACTGTGGGCAGAAACTCATCTGGTCTTTCTTCTCCTGATGTTTGATTTACAGCCTAGAATTAAGTTTATCTATAGCTGGATAAGGCTGGATCCAAAGACATAGCAAGCCTTAGGCACCATGGATTTTAAATCATGTTTTAGAAAAACAAAATTCATGACTGAATAATAACATGGACAATATTTCACTGTTGTGAACACAGTTTACACAAACATACTCACAAATTCCCCCTCTATTGCTTTGGTAAAAAAAAAAAATAATAAAGCACACAGTAAGAAGTCAGTCATAGATGTGAAGGAAATCACAAGGGAGTCATTCGAAATGGTAGAATGGTTAGCCCATTATTTTTGACTTTCTAGAGTATGCTGCCCTTCTGACACCAAAAAACAACTCAGCAAGCCAAAAAGTACCTGGCCTGGTAGAGTGGAAGAGCAGGATGGTCTTTATACTTGTATACCAGCAGTCTTGTACTGGTTTCTTGAACATAACCTAGAAGTGGCAATACCAGCAATGCTTTTGCATCCCATTGCTGTATCATAGCACTTTTTCATTTCCAGTTTCATTACTGCACCATTGTCTCAACAGAGAAAGTTTGACATCCCAACCTTTCTACAAGGTAAAGCCATGTGGAGTCTCTCCTGAGAAATGGGTGACCTGAAACAGAAGATAACAGTAGAGTTATTACTGCAAATGTTATGCATGTTTTAAGATAGGAGGTAAGAATATTACTACTACTGTTAAAAAGCAGGAAAAGCTGAGAGGCAGAAATAATTATGCTGGAATTTAGTCAGGTCTATCTTCAAAGTTCAAAAAAGGGGAATTTAAGAATTTAAATCATCAGAATCTTTGATATCACTAAAAGATGGCACTTGCAGCCAGGGAGTCACACCCCCATATCCTTTTTCTTCACACAGACACAGCAGGGTATTAGCTCAGCACTGCCTTGCAGAGTGAAATCTCCTGAACTGCCACCCTGGCTCCCTGTGGTAGGCAGATGCGCCTTGCTGGCTTCCATTCAGCAACTGTCAGACGACAAGTGGTGCGGGAATGCTTCTCAATTTCTGAGGGAAGACTCTTTGGCATGGAAGATTAGACTTTCCTTTGTCACTGCTGTATGTTATGCAGCCGGATATCCTCATCTGACAGGGCTTTGCTTAATACGTCAGGTTGTTGGTAAAATTCTTAGAAATACCAGTATCACTTTCAAGTGCTTTCACTCACCATTTCCCAAGGTGACACAGATTCTTTGATGGCTCGCTGAGTATCAGAAGCACTTAATAAAAGCTGGGACTTCATATCCCAAGGATTCGTTCAATTTTCTATGACAGCACAGCAAACTAGCATGTATTATATGTTACTGCAGTATGTTACCAGTGCCTGCTTGAGCTGGCTTAATCTACCATCTAAGTTATTCTTTATTATTCTGCTGCAAATTCTTCTGTGCCTGATGTGGAGCTGTACTACATGCATCAGCTTGAGTAGTTTGGTGAATTTACTCACTGTATCCAAACGGTTTGTAACCTCATAGCAGCAGAGGCAGGTAAATTACACAAGTAGGGCAGTGTGAAGGGATTTGCGATGTCGCAAGGATGAGGCAAGAGAGAGATGGGTGACAGAGATGCACAAAAAGCCTTTACGGTTTACGTTACATTGCCTCCACCTTGAATTAGGGGCAAAGCCTGAACCTGTCACAGGAGAATGACAGAAGTACCAGCTTAGGCCAGGAAATAAATTAGCACTTTTTCCATTTGGGTGATGGAGAGGGAGGCCAAATGTACAGCATTGTGAGAGAAATGCAGGTGCCATGATGTACAGGTAAACTGAAGATGGTAGTTCCCAGAACACAAAGCCAGAGCGCTGTGCTGGTACGACCTGAGTATAAGACAACACCCCTGGGGCTTATTTCCTATTTGGATGTAAAGGAGCAGAGAAGATGCAGGGAACCCGCTCTGGCCCCAGGAGCCGGGGCTGCCGCCACCCTGCCTGGCCCAGCACCGTGGGGACGCGGTGCCTCCATTTCCCCGGGCCGCCACAGCCAGGTGGCGCCATGGCGGCGTCTAGCGGCATGGCGGGCGGCGGGGTGGGCCGCAGGGCGGCGGGGGGGAAAGGGCAGGTTGGGGTTTGCTGCTGTCCATGAGGGAGCCGGGGCAGCGGCTCTGCGCTGCCTCTGTGGCCCGCTGACCTTCATGCGCTGGGGTGACAAGCGGGGTACTGGTCACTTGCGGCTGGGCTGGCCTGCTGGTGGGTGGTAGCGGCAGGGGGCGGGTGTTGTGTGTGGTGGCATGCATGCACAGTCACAACACCAAAGTCCTAACCCCACCAGGAAAATACGAAGAAATAGGATTTTTCCCTCTCTGAGATCACATTGGTTCGAAACTGGTGGAGGAAAAGAGCATATCTGCAAAAAATACCTGTGTGGGGGGGTCTATTTTCAGAGGACAGACTCTACTTTTGATGCTGTTTGCCACTGGGAAGGGGAGTGAAGGTGATTTCATTTTTTTGTCTTCACTGGAAAGAAAATTTCACCATATATATATATATCTATTTTTTTTGTGTGTGTGTGTGTGTTTAACCACAATCTTTCCAGCCTTCTCCTCCTGCTCATGCACGCTATGGTTGTGGTTGTCATTGCTTGCTGTCTGCTCAGGTCTTGTGCTTTGCTGGTTTGTTAACTGAATTTAGTTTGAAGCCTTACACCGCTTAATTCCAAGGATTAAATTCCACCTTCAGGGGTGTACATACTGTCTCAAAATAAATAAATAAATAAGCAAACAAACAAATAAATAATCTGGGGTGATTCAAGCAAGCTGGGGTATACATGCTGTCTCAAAGTAAGTAAGTAGATAAATAAATAAATAATCTGGGGTGATTCAACCAAGCTGGAAGACTTTATCAGTTGCTGAAACATAAAGCACCTTAGTTTTGGTGAAGCACGTAGAAGAGTCCCAGAGAGGCTTAAGCACATCCCTCTCAGCCCACCTCCACATGTGGCTTTCCCTCATTTTTACCAGAGGTTTCTGTAAGACCGTATTGGTGAAGTGTCCTATGTCAGCTCATTTCAAAACATTTTGATCTTGCTCTGAAGTGTTTATGTGATGCGGTTTCCCCCACCATATAGAATCTGATCGCTTGAAGCGGCATGTCTAGCAGCGCGAGCTGAGTGATGAATGTTGTTTCTCTCAGTGTCTGCGTATGCTCTAATTTCAGTTTAGTCCGATGGTGTCGCTGCCACCAAGAGGAGCAGCCCAGTCCTTGCCTCCCACCCCTCACTTGCTGGTACTGCTGTTCATGCACAAGAAGCAGATCAGTGATCAGGTTTAGCTGAGATCCAGGGGAAAAAAAAGGAAGGGGGCGATGTTAGTTCTCAGTGGGAGCAACTACCTGCTCAAAACACTTGAAATCAGCACAATAAAGGGCTTGGCCTGGGCACAGGAACAAACAGCATGGGCAAGGAGGGTACACAGTGTTCACATCTGCTAAAACTGCTACTGAAAACTTGTGTGTCAAAGGATATCCCTAGGACCCTTGGCATTAAACT